CTAGCAGCCTCGCACCGAGGACCTATCTACGTCACCATTTACCCAGAATGCTTTGTGTGTAAACAAAATGTCCCCGCCCGTGTAATAAATGATAAAACCGAACATCCTACAGTATTTTTACAGTCTTTATTTTACAGTTAAATTATATGTTTATTAAAAAAAGTCTAATGTTACAACTAATCATGGATCCCTTTAAACTCCCTGCTACTTTCATCCCAATCATCACACATTCAGCACTCCTCTTCTTTTTTTCCCTCCTGTGGCCATTTGCTATTTTATTCACTGCCTGCCCACTTTATGCAGACTGAGAGGAATAACCACGGCTCTGTTGGTTTGGGAGATTGATGGCTGAGGGAGGATTGGTGCACTGCACCATTTGAAAAGCCAGAAATGGCCGTTTGTAGCTCCCTGTGGGCTCTTCTGCTACAATTAACACCTCTTTCCTCTTTCTGTTCTGACACATCTCAGTCTGTTATTTTTTTAAACATTTTCTTTGTTTTATTTCGAACCTGACACCATCTTTAATGGTTTGTTATTGTAGTGGGAATATTATAGAGCTTAACAGGAGCTTTGCTTTTCCTTCTTTCTAAAACTGTTAATGTTTGAAAATCCTGTGTTTTTTTCCTGAGGAGAAGTCAGAGTTTGTACAGATGCGAGTCAGAATTTGTTATCTAAATAAGATTCCAAAAATAGAAGGATCTGAGTCACGCAGCTGCAGGAGGAGGAGCACTTCCTGAAACTTTTGTTAGTGTGAGCACTGCTCGTCTCGGTTACTGTCAGGTCATCAGCTCCATCACAGTAAAAGAACACGTCGCCCTATTTTCTCTCTCCACATTTTGTGTCAATTAAATCTCCTCCATTTAAAAGCATCAAACTAAAAGTTGTCAGTGCCTTTTTGCCAACGTATATAATATATCCTGTCTTGTTGCAGTCCGCCCTTGACGCAGTTTTTTCTGGAATGTGGCGGCCTGATCCGAACGGACAAGAAGCCGGCTCTCTGCAAAAGCTATCAGAAGCTGGTGTCAGAGCTGTGGCACAAGAACAGGTTGGCTTTTTTTATAAATGTATGAATTTGAGGTAAATATTCTGCTCGCTCCACACTAGATGTCACTTTTAATGCATGCCGCACCCTTAAATGATAAACACTGAGATGGGAAAAGCAACTTTAAATTGATCCTTTCACGATGAATCACACCACAGCTTTACTTTGTATTTATGTTTTCTTCACGTTGCAGACCCTCCTATGTGGTTCCAACCAACTTGTTCCAAGGAATCAAATCTGTAAACCCCATGTTTCGAGGGTATTCTCAGCAGGTGAGATGATGAAACGAACGTGTAATTTCTTTTTTTCGTCATATAAATAAAACGTTAGGTCTCTGTGAGGTTTACTTTTTCTGCAGCATGTTGTAAATCTCTATAAAACATTCATTATAATCATTTTTGTGTGTTTTGAACCTTATAATCTTTTATATTTCTTCTCCCCCTTTGCTGGAACGCAGTTATCTTACTTTTCCAGAGTTGGTTTTTAATTAAAACAGTCGTACTTTCCTTTACAAATTACGCCTGAGGGGCAATTACTGATTGGATCTAAGGTGTTTTTTTTAAAGTAAGGCTGACTTAAAGGTTGGAGTAAGACTTTTTATAAGGCCGAACAGTGAGATGAAGATTTTTCCTTCTCTCCCTTTGGCTCGCTGAAGTTTCTTTTAAAAGGAGTTGGGAAAGGAATATTCATTTGTCGCCACGCTGAGCCGCGCAGCCTTGAATTTAGCATTGCTATGAATAAAGATAAGCAACCGAGAGAGGAGCGTTAATGTTGTTTGAAGGAGGAGATTGGATTTCTCAGGTTTGTTGGGTTTAATAACACTTTCATGAGTGCTTTGGTTTTGGGTTTTGGGCGTCCAGAATCGGCCGGAACGAGTGGGGGGTGGGGGGGACTGGTTGTTGTTTGTAATTTGAGAACAGATCAGCTTTGGAAAAACCGATTAGGAAGTATAGCTTTATTTTATTTAGCAGTTTTATTTGTTTCATTCATTTTAGACAAAAAAAATCAACGTTTGACCTTGTAGGACACGTGTCAAACTCAAGGCCTGCGGGGTGACTCCCATGTAGCCTGCCAGGGGAGTCATATACGTATATAT